TCTTGCGTGTGTGTGCACACTCTTCATCATGCATTAAAAAAAAAAAAATACTAAATGCTGGCTTTATTTGGAAAGAAAGACTATGTGACCGTGGGAAGGAAAGAGTAGGAAGGACAACTTACCACTATTTCCCTTCATCTTTTTGAATTTTGATTGATGGGAAATATACCTACACATATAATCCCCAAATTCACATCTTGCCAGGTTGGTGGATTGAAAGGAGCAGAGAACAATTCTCCGTTTAATTATATTTTCAAAACTGCTCTCACTGTATGTCCTAATCTTGTGTCCTTGGACTACATTGTCAAGCATGATCACCTGCGTTAAGCACCTTCTATCAGATCAGTCAACTTTTAAACGGTGGACCAAAGTGTCCAGTGCTATTTCTTATAATGCTTATTTGGCATGCTCATATATTTTGATTATAAGAACAACCTCAAAGACTTCAAAAATTGAATTACAATATGGAAAAAAACTCATTATCTGGAGAAAAATCTTGACCTTAACAGTTTTGTTCCAATCTAAGTGGTGGAATTGTATGGCTAAGCCTATACCAGAGAGCCCCACCTTCCCCTCTAGGGAAATAAGGCCAGATGGAAGTCAGAGTCTACTGTCGAAGGTCAGGATACAAATGATGTGTCCCGAGAAAGAAGAAATGTACAAGCCTGAGAGCTGGTCTCTGAGGAAGTTGCAACATCGTCCCATATCTTAGGTCATCTTGTCCCTGGACTTCAAGGACATTTGTCTTACCAAGATGAAATCTTGACTTCCCAAGAGGATAGTTAAAAATAAAATTAAGAAATAAGAGATGGTCTCATTAAATCTTTTCATTTTATAACTGAAAAAAGAAAAATAAAATTGCTCCTGGAGGTTGGAGAGAGAGCCCAAATGAGCTGCAAAGCTGTTCTACATGCAGATCTGAATTAGACACATCGTTTATGAGACCGTCATTGGACAGAATGGGCAGAATTGGACGAGAGAATGCGCCAATATTCACCAGTTACCTGAGGTAAACTGGGGAGGAAAATTCAGTCTGCAGCTAACATATCGCCCTTGAAAAAAGAGTTCCAAGGTCAAAAAGTTTGAGAATTGGTTGGATTAGCTAAAAGTAAACACACAGAGGTTTTTGTGTGTGATTGGGTGGTTAAGTTGGTGAGCTCATTCTACTGTAGGAGTCTGTTTGTCCAGGTTAATCTCCAAGAGGGCAGGTAGGCAGTAATATATATCCCAGATTTATGTGATTAGAGAGTATGATTTTCACAAAACACCACTTATTGCCTTAATTTCATTGTAATTCTTTTTTAAAAATATTTATTCATTGTTACATCTTCCCACAAACATTTACTTCACATATCAAACATTTTTTTGCTCATACTCCGTAGTTCTTGACTATTAATGAAAAACTTTCAAAATTTCAAAAAACTGAATTTTAAAGAAGTCTTAAAACAGATTTGTAAAATTTAAAATACTTCATCATGCCTTTCAAGTTTCTCTCCAATATGAATCCAACCTACTTTTTAAATCTCTATACTCACTTTGTTTTTAGACTTTCCATAAAATTTACAACTTCTCATGTATATATTTATGGTATTCTCTCAGACTGAACTAACCATTCTTCCAACTTTACAGTACTGAATTTCATTACCCTGCTTAGCAAAATTATCTCTAGTCCTTTTTGTCAGAATTCATTTCAATTTCCTATTTATTATCCAGTAGTCCTTTTTATGTATTTGACAAATATTTGTGGAATCTTTACTATGTGCCAGAGACTTCTATGGGAACAATTATAAACAAAACAGAAAATGGCTGCCCATTGGAACTTAACCTCCTCTGAGTTTGTACAAGTGAGGAGAGAAAAAAATTGTTTAATTAATAAGTAAATGTATAGTATAACATTTTATTTCTTATATGGTACTTTTTTCTTTTTTAAATCTTCCCGAGGGCACATATGCTAATCAGAGAGAGAAAAAGAGAGCAAGAGAAAGACAGAGAGAAAGCACACTTTATCAAAGACAGCTGCACAACAATTCTTTCTCTATTTCTACTTTCAGGATTTTGAGCAACCATGCACACATGCCAGTGTGTTTTTCAATCCTATGAATCTGGGACTCAAACCATACAGTCACCAGTGTGGGTTCCAGCCACCTCAACCACCATGCCACTGGCCAACCCTCTTGTGTGGTACTTTTAAATGGTTCCTTAGGGTTGTTTATAAATTTCTTTCTTCTTTTATCTTAAACTTGTTGAGGGTAATATCATTTCTCAGTCATGTCCACATCTCTCAGAGCTCAGTAGGTGCTTCCCCTACAGTAAGTTTTTAATAAATATGACTGAATAATGCTTTGGGGAGAATCATCCTGGGCTATCTGGAGTAGGTCCATAGGAAAAAGGGTGCTAAGGGACTATCTGGATGTACCCTGTGCATGGGAACTTTCTCAGGGTGGGGATCAGCAGTCTTTAGGCAGGCTTGCCAGACCCTTGTATATTTACTCTGCATCCTGTACTGATTTTTCTCGGCACTCCCTAAATGTTCTAGATTAAACTTTTTTTCAATAAATTATAAAAATTCAGCAGTTAGAGCTATTTTTCAAATTTTATTAGGAATCCTTTCTTTTTATTTTCTAAAAATAATAATTTTACTTTTGGAATTTAAAAAATACTTTTATTTATTATTATTTTTAAATTTGCTATAGGGCGTATTTGCTCACTAGAAAGAGATAGAGATAAGGTCTATTATCTGTTGACGAGATTGTGTGTGGTGGTCTCAGCTGGGCTGGACTGAGGTGTATATCATGCTGGGTGAAGTCTCTTCACAATCTAAATGATGTATAGCAACTTAATGTATGAATAATAATAAAAAAAAACATATAAATGAACAAAAAAAAAGAAGAAAGAGAAAGAATGAGAGGGGGAAAGTGAGAAAGCAAACCTCCAGGTCCAGGACTCTAATCATAGTTGGCCATGGGGGAGTCCAACACCTCAACCACCACACTACCTGCTGCTCCCAACTTTTCAGATATTTAAAGACTAAAACTTTTATTTCTGGATGCTTCTAAGTAGGAGCGAAAGTCACAAGGAAAGCTCACGGTCTTTCCTCAGGCCCTTGCACATAAACACTAACAAGAAAAGAAGCTGTTTCTTCCCTTCTATATGAAAAGTGGGTGTTCTTTGTCTAGATAGGAGGAGTAAATAGAACTTTGACTTCATGTCTGGCATACAGTACTGGCTCAATAGAGGGTCCTTCCCCAAGCTATTGGAGCAGAAAGGATATATTGTCTCTAAAGCTCACAGTACATTACGATTCATTTACCCACCAACCAGCGACTCAGCCAGCACCCACTGAACTGGAGGCATGCCTGGGTCTCTCTAAAGATTTCAGGTGTGAAAATGATAAGGTGTCTGGGAATACATATTATTTATTGATCTTTATACTTGATTATTTATGTACTAATTTATTTAATTATTCATACATGACTTTCAGACTTGTTCTAAAAGGTACTTAAAGCACTTCGCATTTGGCATGCACTACTACATGATATATAAGATACATTCAAAAACAAGTAAGGGTTGTACAACTCTAAACTAATGTCTAAATGCATTGAAAGCATCTTTAAAGAAAAACTAGAGATGTGAGAATAAACAGAAAGAGAATATACATACACACATACAATTATTAATATATACTTAAATATATTTTAAAATCTTGTGTACATTTTAAAATCCATCCACAAAGTTAAAATGTAAATAACAGGGAGAACACACAAAAATGTTCAATTCATATAAAATACAAGTGATTAACACTTTTTGTAGATTAAAGATCCTCATAAAGACTGAGATAAAGGTGCATACTTTTTGTTTCCATTGCCAGAGGGTACATTGCTCATCAGAGAAGGAGAGGAACGACTCCCAGCAGGGTGTGGTCATGCTGCCATCCTTTTTCCTCCATTTCTCCTTACTGTCAGGATCCTGGGCACACTTGCACACATCCCCAGCATGCTTTTTAAACTACCAGGGCCTGGATTTGAACTGTGATCTGCCATACGGGATCTGGTTCCCAATACACAGTGCTTAACCTCTGCACTATGGGGCCAACCCAACACTTTCATTCAAATGGTGCCGAAGGCCATAAAGAGACAGGAATGGCCTAAAAGGAACCTGTAGAAAGAAATCTATGGTTCAACCTTACTGCCTGGAGCCAGCTCTGCATTCTGCAGTTTCCTGCCCCGATTTCTGTTTGTCTGGCAGGTTTGTCTCGTCAGTCATCTAATACTGATGATTAGTTTGTGATTACATTTTAGTCCACCTAATGTGGTCTGAAACCTCAGCTCATGTCCAAATTATCTCTCGTAGACTGAGTTATACTTGCTGGTCATAACTTGGATCAGGTATTCTCATGAGGTTGTTTGGAGACTCATGCCCCTGCACACACCCAGGCACACTTACACACACACACAGTCTACCACCACGATGCCAGGCATGCATTAAGAGCTCAAAATAAGTGTCTCCCTCTTAAATTTCATTTTACACAAGAGCAGTTATACTGTGCTGTGAAAAGGAGAAATCCACAGAGCTAGCTAAAGGATGAATTGCTACAAGGAAGTAGAGATATCTCAAAGAATTTAAGAGCGGGAAACAAAGCCAGACTCATAGGTCACTGGAACAGAAAGATGGGAAAACCTTCCAGGAAGTGTTATAGGCACAGCTTCTCCAAGAACAGAGTACAGACTCCTCCCTGGATTATTGCAAGACCTGGAG